TTTTTTTTTTGAGACAGGGTCTCACTGTGTAGTTGAGACTGACCTGAAACTCACTATGTAGTCCAGGCTAGTCTCAAACTCACAGTGATCCTCCTGCCTCAGCCTCCCAAATATGGGATTACAGACGTGTGCCACCATGCCCGTCTGGTTTTTTGTTTGTTTTTTTGTTTGTTTGTTTTTGAGACAAGGTCTCACTATATAGTTCAGGCTGGCCTTGAACTTACTATGTAGTGCAGGCTGGCCTTGTACCTGTGGCCTCAGCTTCCCAAGTTCTGGGATTACAGGCACACCTGGCTGTGACCCTTGAGTTTAGTTGTAAAGGAAGTGAAAGCAAATAGAATTACAGAGTGCTTGATAATGACAGAATTTGGAAGTGGTCTAAGTCTACCTTTAGTGCTTTTCCACTCCCCAATGCCCTGAATCTACACCTGTGCCCATTGCCTCACTCTTTTCCTGGTCTCAAAAAAGCCCCAAACTGTGGACCTATCTTGCTTTCTTTCTAAACCTTCCCTTGTGTCTGTCAAAGCCTGATGCCATTATCCTGTCACCCAGACAATGACTGATCTGATAAACTAAATTAGTCTTCCTATGTTGATAGGCTTCTTGTTTTTAATACCCTTTCCAGGTAATGTATATGTTCTAAAAGTCAGTGGAAAATAAGGCCTTAGCCATAAGACCATAATGGTGATGATTTCCAACATCTTAATAAGTTATGCAAGGAGATATTTGGGGAATGTCTTAGTTGCTTTTCTTCTTGTGGAGACAAAATACCCAACACTCAAAGTTGAAAGAGGAAAGGTTTATTTTGGCTCACAGTTTATAGAAATTTCAGTCCATACTTGGCTGCTCTAAGGCAGGATAGCATGGCAAAGGGGCATCAAGGAGGAAAAACAGCCCATGGCAAAGCAGGTTATGCAGAAGGCAACAAGCAGCAAGCAATGACAGCAGCAGAAGCAGCAGTAGACCTGTTTTCTTTCTGTAGCTTTATATCCACCAGGCTACCTGGCCTTTTGGCTGATGCCACTTACACTTGCAGTGGGCCTTCCCATTATCCATACCCAGAACTATGACAAATCAATTAGTGAACCAATATAGTAAACACACACCCTTAATTCTAGCATCAAACATTGAATCCCAGCATCACACACCCTAAATCCAGTCACCTCTGAAAAGCTCCACTTGTGATGGCCCAAGACTTTGAGGGGACATCTAGATACAAGCCATAACAGAAGGCAAGGAAATTTTGTTGATAGACCTTAAATTGCCTACTGTAGTTTTCTTCCCCACCCTGAGGCTTACCTCTCACTCCTCACTTCCATTCCTTATTATCTTTGTTTCCTTGAGGACCCTCTCAATTCTTTGGAAAGAAACTCTGAAAAGCCACACATCGTGGCACATGCCTGTAAACCCAGCCACTTGTGAGGCAGAGGCAGGAAGATCACAAATTCAAGGCCAGCCTGGGCAACTAGGTGAGACATCTCAAAATGAAATTTTAAAAAAAGGGTGGGGATACTCAGGAGAGTGCTTACTTAGCATGCTTGAGGCCCTGAGTTCAATCCCCAGTATCACCTGCATGTACACACACACAGGAAATCCATTCAAGTAGGAAAGTCATTCAAGCAGGAAAAATGTACCATCTTTGTGAAGTAGGTGGGCATACTCACTTGGCCATGTAACACCTTTTTTTAATAACACAGTAAGGAAAAGCATGGTTTGGGAGTCAGATAGCCCTGGGAATAATGCTACCTCCCTGATCGGATTGCTGATGAAGATAGTGCTTGGAGATGGCAGAGTGGTAAATAGCAGGGAAATAGCTTCTCCAAGATTTTGTGTCCAGATGCTGGAATATAGCAACGCGAGGAAGAGGAGGAAGGAAATGTCCTCAGGACATAGTGAGGAACTGAAGCAAGAATTGAAGCCCAATGGCCAGGGATTTAGCTCAGTGGTTTTGGAGCCTGCTTTGCAAGCACAGGGACCCAAGTTCAATCCCTGGTACAAAAAAAAAAAAAAAAGAAAAAAAAAAAAAAAAAAAAAGAAAAAAAGAATTGAAGCCCTCAAGGAGAGCGAGGAGAGAGATTTCAATGAAGAAGAAAGAGGTGGCAAGTGGTGCTTTCTCCCTGAGCCCTCACTCACTGCATGGGAAGGGTGGCTATAACCAGCAGATGCGTGGTGACTACTGGCAACCCCAGAAAAAATCTATCAGTGGACACAGCTGACTGCAGTGGCTTGTGGATTATTTGTGTTCAGACATCCCCCAGGAGAAGGTGATTGACCAGTAGTCATTTTGGAAAGGGGCCAACTGAGCTCAGAGCTCAGAGCAGCTACAGGCTGGCTCTATTCAGGTGAGGAACCAAGTTCAAATTAGCAGGAGGTTAAGGGGCCAAAGTTAAACCAGTGGGAGGTGCACAGGGTGTTTCTGGATCAACAAAATAGGTTCCAGCCTCACAGTCAAAAACCAGCCTGAGGGCCGGGGATTTAGCTTAGTGGTTCCGTGGCCTGCCTCGCAAGCTCAAGGACCCGAACCCCGGTACCAAAAAAAACAAAACAAAACAAAACAAAAAAAAACCCAGCCTGAGCTTCAGAGCTAAAGGTGCAGGGTGCTGGGATTATCCACTACCCCACCATAAATCTGCAGCTGGCTTGTTGGGATTAATGAACATAAATCGACTCTGTCTCCCCACCTTGTCTACCACTGACAGCAGAGACATGCCTTTAAGTACTCTTTGCTTTTTTTTTTTTCTTTTTCTTTCTTGAGATGGGATCTCTCTTTGTACTTGAGTCTGGCCTTGAGCTTGTGGTGGTCCTCCTGCCTCAGCCCACTGATTCTTACTTTTATTTTGTTTTTATTGATTGTTCTTGTTTTTATATGAGGGTGAACACTGTTTTTAGTTTTTGTTGTTTTTGATGTTCTATTATTTTTATTTCTTTCTTTCCTCTTTCCCTCTTGTCTGTTCACCAGTTTCACAAAGTTTGCATAATCTTCCTTCCAGCCTTGCTTCTTATCTCTGCCTCTTCTTCTATTTCTCTATTTTTTTTTTTTT